CCTCCCCAGCCCCCTCCGGAAAGGGATCCCTGCTGGGACAGAAGCAGAAGCTTCCGTGGGGTCCCCCTGTCGCATTGAATGCCGTCCCTCTCCCTCCCTTTTTCCTTCTCAAACTCAGGGTGGCATGGTTTTTAAAAAACACACACACAATCCTTCCTGGCCCAGTATTGCAAATAAGATCTGGGTGCATCTCAACAGAGACCTGGATGAGGTTAGACGGATGTAGGGGGAGGCAGCTGTTTGCACCCCTTGCCGTTTGTTGCTTAGCCCCGGTTTAAAGTAAATTTTTTTTGCTGGCTTTTGTGCCTCCATGCTGAGGCCTGCCGAGGATATTCTGGACTCAAGAAGAGGGGAGGTGCTTGGCGCCGCCTTCTCCCTCCTCCTCCTCCTCCTCCTCAGCCATGGGGACCCAACGCCAGTGAAATGGGCAGCATCTGTGCGGGACTCCTCGGTTCACATGGATTTTCTTTGGAGCTTGTGCTTCAAAAGTGCCAGTTTGAGCCCAGAAAGGAGATCGCTGTTGGCTTGTTCTGATCTCTCTTTTTTTTAAGGAGGCGACAACGGTCTTCTTAAGACACCCAACCGCAGCCGGCCGTACAGCTTTCGGAAAAGGGTGCCGTCCAGGCGTTTTGCTGGGCTTGAGGTCCTCGGGTGAGGGGGCGCCTCTGATCCCAGTCTGAAACCTTTCCTTCCAGCTTCAGATGCTGCAGAGCGAGAACACCACCCTCCGGCGGCAGGCCACCACAAACGCCTTCCCCCCCCAGCCTGGCTTGGAGTACGCAGAGGCCGGTGGCCACCCTTCCTTGATTCGGCGGCCCTCTGCCCGGAGCAGCCGGCCCATGTCGATGTACGAGACCGGCTCCGCCCAGAAGCCCTACCTGCCCCTCGCCGAGGTCTCTTACGCAGAGGAGCACCTCCCCTCCCGATTGCAGCCCTTCCCTCCCCACGTAAGCGGTTGCTCCCTTTGTTCCTTTGGCTGACACCCCCTCCTCCCCGCCCCGACTTTGAGCCCCAAGGCCGAATCCAGTCCTCTCTGAGCCGCGCGCTCTGGCCTTCCTCTTGAGGAGTAGACCCCCGACCCTGGCTCTCCCACTGCGCGCCCCCCCCCCGTGTTGAGGCAGAGTCCACGCGGGGAGCGTCCCTCGTGAGTGTCTCTTTCTCTCCCTTGTTTTTAGATGGGGAGTGGGTTGGCCACCGGCTCTTCTTCCTCCATGCCTTCCTTCCCCTTCCGGCCTTCCTGGCCAGGAGACGAAAGCGCAGCAAGGGTTAAGTACATCCCCCCCCTCCCGCTTCCCAGAGGGGCCCACGCCTTCCTCCTCCTGCCGCTGAGCAGAAATCTCACCCCGGCTTTTGCGCCACCCTTGCCCGATCACCACCATGCCCGCTGTCTGCCTCATGCTCTGCCTCCACCTCTAATTCCATGCAGCCCAAGCCAGGAGCCCTCCAGCGCGCGCCCACCTCCCTCTCTTTTGCGCTCTGCCACTTCTCCTCCAAGCACCGGCTGCGGTGCCGGCGCGGGCCCTTGGCATTGTGCACTTAACACACGCTGGAGAAATGGCTTCCTCTCTTCTTCTGTGCTGTGTTGTCCGAGGGCCGGGAGGAATGCATTTTGAGTTCTCTCCCTTTCTCTCGCCTCCTCCCTTGCAAAGACGCACCCACACGGATCAGTCCCTTAGACTGAATTTTGATTCCCAAACCCCTGGCGTTTCCTGCTGCATTGTCCATTGCAGTGCTAACCCCTCTTCCCGAAGTGTTCCACCGTCCTTCCATCGCTGAAGATCCAGGGTTTGGAGTTTTCCGCTCTGGATGGGTGTCTCTCTCTCTCTCTGTGTGTGTGCGTGTGTGCATGGCTCCCCAGCTAAAATATTGTGGGGCGCTCATGAAAAAGCAAGAAAACTCCACAAAACCCTGTCAGTTCCCAGGATTCCAGGAAGATGGAGCGGGCTTGTTTCCTCGAACCTTAGAAGGCAGGACTTGAAGCGATGGACTGAAATTACGAGAAACGGGATTTTGACGAAACTTTAGAAAGGACTCCTCGGCAGCCAGGCTGCCACAGAGGGGGCTGGGTGGGGGTTGGAGTCCCCCCCTTCCTTGGAGGCTTTAAACAGAGCTTGGAGGGCTGGCTTCTTGGGCCTGCTGTATTTATTTATTTTATTTATTTATTTATTTGATTTATACCCCGCCTATCTGGTAGGCAGGGATGGCCTGCTTTCGTAGAGAGTGGACTTTTTTTTTTGAACCCTTTGGGGTTCCTTCCAGCTCTACAATTCTGTAACTCCCCAGGGGTGAAAACATCTTGGCCTTAAACTGGTTTCAAACCAATAGGGAATATGTAGGGTGTTGACGAGCCCCAAGAGAGAAGCAATGCGGGCTGGATTTTTCCACCTAGGAGGCATGATGCGCCCCACAAAAGCACCCTTTTATCCCATGGCGTGAAAAGAAGCCACCAGAGACGTGGCCAGTCCCAGAATTCAGAGACCTTCCTCTCTGCGGACGACAGCGCCCGGAATCCCCCCGCAGCTGACGTGGCCGTGGGTCATTGCTCCCTTGTCCAGCGTGGTCTTTGAAAGAGCAGCTCCCTAGCTGAACCTCCCCCCCAGGAATCTTCCCTCTCGACCTCACGAGACCTGCCTTTTTTTTAACCCCTCTTTCCAGGCTTCCAAACTGGAAAAGCAGAGCAGCCTGCCCGAGGGTGATTACGACAACGCCGCCCCTGCCCTGGAGCTGGACGAGATGGGGTATGTGTGTCTCACTCTTCCTCCTGACTGCAGGGGGCGCCTCGATCTTTGGCCCGGGGAAGAGGGACCAGGGCTGGCCGAGTAGGGTCGTGGGCTGGGGCATAGCCAGGCTCTCTTCCCGCAAATCGCCTTTCCCAAGCTGGCAAGCTCTCTCAGGTCATTTCCTTTAGAACCAGCTGCTGGCTAGAATGTCTGGGGTTCATGGACTCTGGAGTCCAGGTATTCCCTCCTCAATCAGACGCCGACCCCCTTGCTGAACATGCTCTCTGGTTTCTCGTATGCGTCCCTTAGTCGTCTGCAGCTCACTGCTTAAGGGCTTGGGGGGATAAGGATCATCGGCGAACTTTCCCATGCCTGGACTCCTGCACGGGATATTTGACTCGCCACAGGCGATCAGGCAGGGTAACCAACTGAACCTACATCCCCGTTCGGTAGGCTCAGCAGGAAGGCGAGGCAGCGGAGCGCCTTCAGGCAGGGGGAAAGCTCCCTCTCGGAGAGCAAGGACTCCGACGCACTCCCCAGCACCAGCTTGCCCAGCACCGAGGACGTCATTCGCAAGACGGAGCAGATCACCAAGAACATCCAGGAGCTGCTCAGGGCGGCACAGGAGAACAAGCACGACAGGTGAGCTTTCGGGGGGGGGGAGCACGCAAAGGCCCCAGGAGGAGGTGCTTGGGCCATGTTTTGCTGGCTTCTTTTTGAGCCGAGGAGCCTTCCCCCAATGGAGGCAGGCGTCTCCATGCCTCCCCCCTCCACTGCCCCCCAAAGTGGCAAAAGCATGCCAATCGACCCACGCATGTCTGCCAGGAGTGGGTCGTTTTTCTCCGTAAATCGGAGCTCGGCGAGGGCTGTCGCCGACCGGGCCGTTTGGGCGACAAGCAGCTTTTGTCGTTTTTCCCGGACGTGTGGAGGGCGGGAAGCCAGGTTCTGACTCCCAGCAGTTCCAAAACAGAGGGAGCCCGTGGCCTTCCAGGGATAGAGCCCTAGGAAAGCGTTTCTGGCTTTATTACTATTATTTTTTAGTGGGGGGGGAAGCCTTTTTTAAAAAAAGAGAGGAAATCCCCCCATGGTATGGTGGGGAGGGGGGCATGCACACCAGGGAACCCCTAGAGAGCTAGATTGGGGCCCCTGTGGCTTGAGGGTGCCGACCCCCCCCCTCACCCAATCCCGGGACCTGCAAGCGTTGCCTGCCTCCTTGCGGTGCTTTGCCCAGCTTTCTCCTCGCCCGCCTGCCTGCCCCCCCCCTTTGTGCCGTGCATCTTTTCCCACTTGATGCAGGAAAACACCTCTCTCTTTCTCTCTCTCTCTCTCTCTTCTGTCTTCCTCCCTCCGGGCCACCAGGCCAGCCGGCCGGGCCTGCGGGCCCAGGCTCCGGCGCGGCCTGGGCTGTTTCAGTGCCCTGGTTCCATGGGCCGAGCGAGCGTCCTTCCAGCCTCTGACCCTCCGGCCGCCTGACCCCACCTCCTGGTACTCCGGCCTCTGTCCCTGCCTGCCAGGCACGGTGCCCCTCTCTCTTGCCCCTTTCTCGTGTTCCTGCACCCCTCCCAAGCACCGGCTGGATTCCCGATCATGCAAGAAAGGCATGCAAGCGGGGCTGAGTCTCAGGCGTGGCTGGAAGCCGCCTGCTTATAGCTGGCCCCAAACCAGCCACTCGTTTCCCAATAATGCAGAAGGAAGGAAGTTAAAAGCAATGCTCACAAAGGGGAGAGCAAAAAGGATTCCTCCCGGCCTCCTCAGCCCCAGGAATGATTTCCCTGGCCTCCCCCATCCTGGCTGCGGAGGAGGAAGGAGGGGCTGGACCCACCGCCAGGGGGAGCCCCCTCCCTCCCCGTTCGCTCCCCTTCCTGCCTTCTGTGGCAAGCTGGGACCGACCCGGCTCTTCTCTTCTTCCCCCACCCGGGTGCCCTTAAGGAACGCTGGAGATGCGCTCGCGCACCTGCTTCGGAGCGGCAGCCGGCCTTGGGTGTCGCCAGAGTTGCTGGTGGAAACCCCCAGCCCGGTGCAGCCCTTAGCGCCCCCCTCGGCTCAGTCCCCAGGGCTCCTTCCCGCGGCCGCAGGAGGCGCGCTGAGCCATGCGACTGGGGCGCAGTTTTGGGAGAAACTTCTTCTCTCTTGGCGTGACCTTCTGAGCCGAGGTTTCGGGCCTTTCTTGCATAATCGGCCACGCTCCCCCACCTTCCTGTGTGTTTTCCTGCTTTGCCGTGGCCTGTTCGGTGCCTTGGCACCTCCAGATGTGATCTGCTTAGGGTCTCGGCCCAGGAGAGGCCATGGGGGCTGGAGGCCTGCCTGCGGGGGGGGGGGG